ACTGCAGCAAAAGAAAAACCACCCAACAAATTAAAGACAAGTTCAATTCACCTAAAGGTCAGAATCTCATGCAGTCTCCTTCCAATATGTAACGCAGATCAGCAGACACATAATTTGCTGTGGAAATTAGTTGTCAGATTATGTTCTGTGTTTTCCCAGTTGGACAGAACAGGGCAACATCCCAAGAAGCTTTGAGGATAATTAATTTCTCAAAGGAAAAATCATCACTAAAACGTTTCACGTGCTCTTGAGGAACTCATCTGTGACCCACAGACAAACAAACAAGTGGTCTAATGAAGAGCAAGGGCACACAAAGGTGAGAACTTTAAAATTATGAGTTTTCAATTTCAGGGTTGAATCCCCATCTTTCACACATGCGAATAGAAAAATCAGGTCACCCTAAGGAAACTTACAGACCTTTAGAAGAAAAACAACTTCAGGTTGACTGCACTGTTGGGAAGAACTTCTAATGAGGTTTAAGATAATAATAGCCATTGTTCCCTTTTTTCCCTACAACAATTGTCACTTTTGGGGAAATATAAGCCACTTCCACTACAAAAAGATTTGTAGTCTTTCACAAGCGTTGTAATGCTTTCAACTTTTCCAAAATAAAAAAAAAATAACATTTAGAATAGAGGACATTCCATCATTTACTAAACCTATTTATTTCTCAATAAGCTATCAATCTGAGACTGAATCTTAAGCAATTTTGACGTTTCAGTTACTAAATTTCTTTTCTTTTTTTTTTTTTTTTTGATAAGTACACTGATCTTCCCCAGATAACTGTTATAATTTCAGAAGAAGTCTTTAGCACAATATTACCTGCAAAGTAAAGTACCGATCCTTTGGAATGGACTATACTGAGACAGAGAAATTTCTAAATTTTCAAGATTTAAGAAAAGGTTTAGGCCTTTCCTTTTTTATTTTTTTTTTTTTTTACCAGCCAACTACCTATCACACATTCCGCTTCTTATAAAACCCTCTGAGAAGACTGAAATACAAGCATGTGAAAGCACAAAGAGAACCTATTTCACCTACCAGAACAAGAGTGACATACGAAAAAACTTGAGGGTGACTTTTCTCCCAAAACATGAAGACAAGCTTCTTTATTTCTAGTGCTTAAAAGCAACAGCTATCAAAGATTAATTATCTGACTGGATCTGACAAAATTTCTCATTCAACATACCAGAAATTAAAACTTCTAATTTTTTTCTTCTTTTTCCTTACTGTACAATTTTTCAAAACTTCATCTTTGAAAATTAAGCATATAATTTTTCTGCCTGTCATTCTTTCTCTAAAAGCAGTGAATTAGCTTTCAAGTGGCACAAAGATACAAATTACACAAAGTAAGAAAAAAATACCACCTGTAATATCATTTGATAAACTGAAAAGCAGAAAATTTTAAATTCCTATACAAACACTGAAAGTTCAAATTTTAAAAATTTATAGACACCATAACCAAATACTTCTACCTCACTGAAACAATGTAAATAAATGGTTTGGGTTTGTTTGGTTTGGGTTTTTTTGGTTGCTGTTGCTTGTTTTTTTGGTTTGTTTTTTTTTTTTGTTTTTTTTTTTTTAAACAGACATTTATTTCTAGATGGGTATTTGTTATTTGAGCAATTATGCAGAAGATTGATTCAAAGACTAATATTTTGATCCAAATTTTTGTAAAGTTTGAGAGAATTTGGAGCTGGGATTTTTGTTCAGTCCTTTGGTGATGACATCTGAACTACCAGCCTCTCCAGACTTTCATTTTTTGCCTATTTCTAACATAAACAAAGTTATTTTGATAATTATTTTAGTTTATTTTTTCCAATGTATTACAGCATAAAAATAATTTATAATTTCCAGACAACCTAATATTGCCTGAGTTCTGAAGCTGCTATGTAAGACACTGTCATTAGTGAAAAGGCAAATCATTCTTTGTCTTTTAATCACTTTGGAAGCTTCCTAGAACTCTCCCTCTTAACTACATAAATAGCAAATATACCATCCAACACCCTCAAACCAGCTATGTACAATGCTGTATGAATCACTGCTGTTCCCTTCATATGCCGTTTGCTTTACTGAGCATGAATGGATCCAGAAAGAGGAAAATCTACAATACTACTTACAAATTGTTTCTCTTGTTTCAGTGCATTCTTTTTATTTTCAGTTCTTGCTTTTCTATTATTTTTCTTTCTCTGTGTTATCATAGTGATGCTAAACACTGATGAGATGATAGCTAGCAGTTCAAATTTAAATCTGGTTTCTGCTTAATCTTTCAAAAGCTGGTTAAAAGGGTTGGTCAGAAGTCAGGCACCTCTGTGAGCAATTTTTAAAAACTATAGTGATTTAAAGCCTTGTTGCTTTAAATTAAGTAGCTTCTGAAAAACAATTGGGGAAAGAGAAGTTTGGAGCTTCATGTTCTATGGCTATAACTTCCTTTGCTTACAAGCAAAATCACTTGAGTGATTGCAATACGAACAGACACTACATGGTTTCAGCATGCAACCATCTGAACACAGCGTCCAAAGCACCGGGAATGGACGCTGCGGGTTTGGCTGTACGGATGCTCAGTGCAGGTAGGGCCACAACCTGGATATGCAATGGGTGACTGTTGAATGTGAACACAGACTTCTGCCTACCTACCTGTGCATGGTGTAACGAAGGCCACAGATACATTAAATAAAGCACATTGATAAGACTTTCTAGATGTGAATTTTAGAATAATTCCTGGTAAAGAAAATTGATAAAACAAAATCTCACCACCTTATCTAACATCCATAGACACTGTAAAACCAGACAAATTGACTTACAAATATTATTCTGAAATTCTTTAACCAAGAAGAAATAATTCTTTACTACTCCATTATTTTTTATTTTCTGTTCCTAAAATAAGCATGAGCCTGAACGTGTATATTAGAGTGCTATACTGCCATACCAATTCCACTTTATTCATGAGTATCAATGCAAATGGCCCAGAACTTGGCACAGAGATGCTTTGCTCATAAATTAGTGTGCTTTTTCTATTATTACAGTCATTTTTTTTAAATTTAATTTCTATTTTGAATTCTGCGCTCCCTCCCATGAACAGAAAAAGAACCATTTGTATAAGAAACAAAGATAAATTGAACAATCATAGTAATTACTCACATATATGATATGCACTTTTATCACATAAAAACAAATAAAAGTGATTGTATCTGTGGCCTTCCTTCACCAATAGGACATAGGAACACCACTATTAATTTTGTAACAGCCTGAGGTGTTAAGGACACTTCTGAAATATTCAAACTGAAATCTTGTGCACCTTGAAATCATGGGGAGCTTTGACAATAAAGTGAACTGAGTTGGAATTTCATCCTTAATCTTTACTCTTCCAGGTATCAATAACATGCAATATGCATTCTTTCATGGTTCTGTTTAGTGTCTCTAACAAAGAATGTCTTCTAATTTTGAAATTACAGTAGTATGACCCTGTCCTTTTCTTCAGATTTGCACAAACATGTAATGGGAATAATCACTGTTCTGAGAAGTTTCAAATAGATGCTCCCAAGTAAAGGCAAAATACTAGTCATTCCCATTAATTACATATTAAAAAATTAGATTTTTTTTTTTTAATTACATGGGTGAAAGAATAAGCATGAATCCAGACTTCTAGTAGCTTTGTGTCATGCCATCACTGTCAGCATTGTTCCTCCACTCTGCCTCTATACTGTTACAATATTTTCATTTGTTATTTTCACAATGTACTATGCCATACACCACCTAATGCAAACACATACAACATAATGTTTCTAATTACATTTACAGTTAATGCTGACCGAATCATATTGCTGCAGTTCTGGTTAGTGCTAAGACCAAAAGATGACTTCCTCACACAGCACTTGTTTTATCTACAGCATAGCTCTTAACAATCATGGAACCTAGTACTGAATATAAGCTTACTTTCACTGTATCTATATTATTTGTTTGAGTGAAAGGTCTCTTTGCTTGCAGATTGAAGAGCTGCTAAAATTTTGTGGAGCTATATTTATTAATTTCTCCATTGGTTCAAAAAGATTTTAGAGCTTTTTATAGTGCTAAATCACACAGTGTTTTCTCAACAAGTCTTTGCTGCTAGGGCTTATCTGCCTATCCCAATAATAAAGTCTGACTTGCACATTAAGAAAAGCTAGAATTTCAAAGACTACTAAGTCAATGGGACCCATGCACAAATACCCGAAAGCAGGATCTAGATCCCCAAAGTTTTAATTTTGCACTGAGCTCCAAAAACAACTGTGAGCAAGATTTCACTCAATAAGGCACAGTAATATAAACTGTATTCCAAGACAGCTATTTTTGCCTGTGTGAGGTTGGTTAAGTACCACATGTTGCTCCTCTATACATAGCCTTTGCCAAAGGTTTCTGTAGGACTTTCATCATCTTCAAGAGACACTTGATCAGGCTATGAGCCACTCCCATGGAGGCTCTGTTTTCAAGGATTTCTCTTAAATGAAAGTTCAGATGACTTCAATGGGAACACTAATAAGCCCTGTGGAGTTAACAGAAAGACTGAAGTAAATATAGGGAATAATTATCTGCAAGCCTTCTGATCCATTCCCAAACATTCATCTGTACCTGAACTTTGATTTGTTTGTGTCATCAGGAGTGCAGATGTGAGTGAGTTTTTGTTCAAAATTTATTGGAGAGTAGCTATTCTTCATTTTACACTTCACACATGAAAGGGGGACTTAGAGACAAATATGGTTATCTGTCATTAGTAATAATTTTGCTCCTATTTAGTGTAAAAAGTTTCTATCTTCCACAAGCAGAGGAAAATAAGCAAGCTTGACCATAACTGGTCACTTATTATAAAAAAAAAAAAAAAAAAAAGTAGCTTCTAAATAAAGAAAACACTTAACAATCAATCCACAGAGGAAAGGAAGTGGTTTTCAAATGATTACAAACAATCAAAATCAAAGTCTGCTTTTGGATATTTAATGAATAGAAAACAGGCTTAATTTATCAGAAAATTACTGGTTTAATAACAATTTACCTACCTCTTGTGCCTAACAAGTGGCACAATCTTAAAACATATGATTATTTATGTCCTCTAAACCACAGACTACTTATAAGTAATTTTTATTTAACATAACTTCGTTACTCTGCAGAGCAAGTGAGAAATTAAATTTATTTCTGCAAAACTGTACATTGAATATATTACTTTCATAGTAGTTATAATCAGACAGCCATACGTTTATCATCCCTTGTTATGTTTCATTTCAAACAAAATAATAGAAGTTTTACTTACTATTGTACTGAAAATGGATGAACACTGTTTTTAACGCAAGTATAAGACACACTGGCACAAGACCACAATAAAACTCGACCCATATGAAAACAAGATGATCTTAAACCCTTTATCCTAATAAGACTTTCTGAGCATTAAATAGCAAGTCTAATTCTTTAGTCATTAATTTTCCTGTTACAAATCTGGATGTAATTAAGAACAATGCATTGCTGCCTATGTGGTGAAGAAAATGTCATGCTGGTGTGATTGATTACATTTATTTAAACTGGAGATGTTTGACACTTTCCAGTGATACTTCATTCAATTTTTATTACTATTTTATGCATCGAGGTAAGCTTTTAATTTCCCCTGTTGTGACTCACTTAAATAAAACTTTGGAAGAATCTGAGAATCATTACATGAAAGAATATTGCTGTAGTTTTGTAGGTCTCTGAGCTGAAAATAAAATTAAGTTTAATATTTTCACTTACTGTAACTATTGTTAAGGATTTAGTTAGAAAGGCAAGTCTAAACTTTAACTATAGAACATCTAATATATACCTTACAAGTTGCTAATATGTTCTATTCAGTCTAATTCTTCTGCTGATAATATAACTCTATTTTATTACATGGCCTTTCACTGCAGTAGCAGTAAGCTTATTACTTTATACACCCCTTTTTATTTGTTTGTTTAAACATGAAAGATTATTTTCTCTATAGACATTGTGAAACAGTAAAACAAAGTGCAGGGCAAATTTTTTTTCTTACTTTTGTTCATAATCAGACAGTAGTTAAAATTCTCCTCATGCAACATTTGACAGTATCAACTAAACTGTAAATGTAGAAATTTACCAAACAACAGTGACAACAGCACAGAAGTCGAAATAAGAGAAGTATATTTTAAAAGTATCTTGTTGCCTTCATGAGCATTAGAGGTAAGAATAAAAATTGTTTATATATAATATTTCTGCATAAACGTAGCAAACTTTCCTTTAAAATACTCAGCACCCCTTTGTGTAGGAGCATTCAAAGAACAATTGCTGAGATCTTAGTGTGGGTACCAAGGGGCCATATATGCCAGCTGTAAAGATGAAACAAAATTTAATGAGAAACTACAGCTTAAGGGTACAGCTTTCCAGGTGGTTCTGAGGGGCCAGTCTAAGCCTTTATAGTTCCAAAACAGCAATCTCAGTGTCCACTATACATTCTTGTTGACTACATTGTGGCTGCAGAGACCTAAGGCAGGGACCTATTTCACCAGAAGTGACCTTCTGAGACGTTATTTTCTTGTCATATGGGATCAATATGTATGACTGCTACTGCCAGCTGAAAGCTGACAATGGAAATACACAGTAAAGATCAGGAAGGAGAATACTGCATTCCCATGACAACATTGTCCCAACAGCAAAATTCAGAAAATTATTTCATCCTGAGGTTAATCTGGAAAGAGCGAAGCATCTACTGTTGGCCATATCTGAAATATGGGAGGAGAAAAAGGTTGATAAGGAGAAGGAAATGATAGTTAACTTTGCATGACAAAGGTATACTTTGAATTTTAAGCTGTAGTTCTTCAGTTATACATCATTTAGACGCGGCACATCACTCAAATATGACTCTTATTCTAGCATGTCTCCCAGCATGAATGGCATTCTTCAAGAGCTGAAACACTCATAACATGAAAAGCATGATTTGTTTTCATTACCAAAATTAAATTTATAATCATAGCCAAAAAAACAATAGGAAATGTAATTTTTGCACAATACTGTTGGGCTAGGCTTGACTCTACCTCTTCTTCATACATGTAACACTCCACTCTTGAATTCTGACCTGTGTCAAGGAGCTGCAAACCAGGCCATAAAATCTACTGATAGGTATTTTAAATAGGTTATATTCTTTTCAGATATATTTTGTTATTCATCATGAGTACAGTGTACCTGGCAGTAGGGTGGCCTTATGAGCAGTAAATTGAGTGAAATTAGCATTTGAATCAGATGCTACATGAAGATAACAGCCTGCAATAATCCTATTTAACAGCTGTTAATTGTCTGCTATAAACCACAGTTCAGCAAATTTTGATCATACAACTGAAATACCTCCCTAATACAAATGAAGAAAATTTACCAACTGACACACAGAGAGAAACGTTCAGAGATGCACATCTTAAATTTATCATAAATACAGATTTCACGCAGATGCCATATCTCCTAACAACATATAAATCCTAAAACATTGTGTGAAAATATTGCCAAAAAAATATACAGAAATATACATAAAATGGTTTCTTTGCTTACTTATAGGGAAACATTAGGTTTGTATGTCTTAAAGGCAAGGAGCATTCTTCAAAGTTATGAAGATGTTCTTAAGAAAACGTTTATGTTTCTGTATGTTGCCAACAACCACATCACCAAAGACATTAGCAGTCCATCTGTAATACCATTTTATCCTACCGCAGGGAGACTTCCAAGGTTATGAAAAGCCATAGTTCCAGCTTCAGGACGAAGGGCTACTTCTCCATCTTCTCTGAACTCATTCTACTTTCATCCATTGCTCAGTCTGAAGCACACACTAGAAGAATGTATTATTCTGGAAGTCAGAGCATCCTACAGTGGAAGGTTAAACTTCACAAACAGTGTTTAATCTTTCATCTGTAGCCAAGAAAGAGTAGAACCCTATCGGCTGAAAAAAAAAAAAAAAAAATCAGAGAGTAAGCATTAAGATATCCTGGCAATGAATGTGTCTATTATAAGGACTCATATTCAACACAATGAGAAAGATATTTTCTTGTCATACATCTGAGATAGGATAGCAGGAACCCATGGCTGTCTGTATCAAAGCTGCAGAGATACATAGCAAAATATCTATAGCTAATTTGTCTTTTCCTAAGAACAAGTAGATAAAAATACTTCATCTTCCAGCTTTATTTCTTCTTTCCTGTACCTCAGCTGAAAAAGAACTAGTATTGTGGTAGTATCTAGTGGAGATGAAGGTAATTAAGAGGACTTTTTCCAGTGCTTTGCTGGTAATAAGGATTTTACAGAACTGATGATTGGTTTCGAGAAAGACTAAATACTGAGGCATACATCAAGTTTTTCTGCTCAAAAAGCCTAAGACATCTTGGCTTAAAAGGCTGAAGGTTGTCCTTTACTCTTTAATTTATCCATGAGAACACAGTTCAGAGGCAAAAGTGACAACTGTGATGTTCATCAATTAATCAGCATTCAGATAACTGATGGGGTGTACTTTTCATGATGGTCTTCCCACGAAGTTAGACTTTTCTTTTATTCCTTCTTTAATTCTCAATATATGAGCTTTTCAAAATCTTTACACCCTTGCTAAAAGAAGGAAGTATGGAATGGGCTCATCTAGACCACTCCTATATTCTTGTGGAAGCTTTCCTAACTCCTGAAAGTGTCCTCAAACTCTCTCTCTCAAATGTCTTGTTCCTTCCTGTTCCAAAGACTGTGCCATTATGATCTCACTGATGGTATCCATATATATTTTTAGTCAATGGAATTAAATTATAATATTTTATTTCATTTTTTAATATTTTCTCACATAGTTCTTTCATTATAGTCTTAGTAGTCAAGGCTCTAATCTTGGCTTTCATTCATTCAACTTCCAATGTATTTTTTTCTTTACAATTCAGACAGCATAATTTCTGGCACAACATTTGACTTCAGCACTTACAACCACTTTGAAGTTAACAACTGTCCCATTTATGTTCAGACTGGCAGCATTGTAACATCACCTGCTACAATGGTGTCCACTGATTTAACAAAGGAATTCCTCTGAGCTGAAGAAGTCATCATTAAGCCCTTTAACTAACCTGTGCACACTCTATCAACATTTGTAAGCTTCTGCAAAGTAATGTGATCTATTTAATGTGATCTATTGTAAGTCTTCAAACTTCTCATTGCCATACATTGTTTCATTATAGGTTGTTTCCAGAATATGAGCAGCACCATCAATTGGGATATTTTGAGGTTTGGGGGTTTTTTGCTTGTTTGTTTTTTGTTGTTGTTGTTGTTGTTTTTTGTTTTGCTTTTTTTGGGGGGGGGTTTGTTTGTTTTTTGTGGTTTGTTTTGTTTTGTGGTTTTGGTTTTGTTTTTTTTTTTTTTCCTGGGGAACAAAAAGTTAGGACAGTTTGAACATGAACTCTGCTTATCCCACTCTCTTCTCTAGTGTTTTAGGTTTTCCTGGTGAGTGCTCTCCCCACAGAAGTCTGTCTTTCTCTGCTGTCTTTTAATTTCTCTAACAAAAGGTAATTTTGGCTTCTTTCATATATTTAGTCTCTGACTCTTATCACGATGCAGTGTCTTGTCAGACATTGTTTGATCGATCATTCTGCAAGATTATCTTTTTAGTCACAAAGTTCCTCCTGCTTTCAATTTTAACTTTTGCATTTCTTTTGAAAGAACGGATTTATGAAAAGTTGCAATTTAACAGCAAAGGAACTGTTTCTCCAAACTTTGTTAACAGTCTTGTACTTCTGCATCAGGGCTTCCTTCTATGCAGAATTAAAAGTGATGCAAACTTAATTTAATTTGTGTTACTCCTGGTATTACACACTGTTAGGTAATTCCCTAGATCATCCTTCAGTGCACCTGTTTTACTGAGAACTAGAGGATGAAATTTCATTTTTCATTTATTGTGAGAATTTATGAAGCATAGTTTTCCTATAAGAGTGAAAAATTTCTTATAATGACCAAATTGGAAGTGAGAATACTAAGTGACTGCCCACAAATGAAAGCTACCCCTCTCATTTATACCAACATAATTTTGGCAAGCTCCGCATAGCTGATTTACAGATGGATTCAGTCATGACCTCAGTTGATGCATCACAGCTTCACAAGACAGCGGAACCTCTTGATGAGTAAGCATGTAATTAAAGAGCTCAGTAATGTATATTTAAGATACAAATTCAACTGTCAGTTGCAGTTCAGGGCTTGTATACTGCCAAATATATTTATGCTGCTAATATGTTCAGAATGCTGTTTTATCACAATCACACCAAATTTCTCCGACCTCAAATCACACCTGAGGTTATGATACTGATGTTTTGCATGTAAAGGAGAAGGATTTCAAGGCAAATTGAATGGAAAGTATCCTTTCTTGCTTCCATTAGAATGAGTGACTCCGAGGCTGTCACAGGTTAATGCGTCACAGGGGTCTTCTGTCTCATGAAGTCTGGCTGCTTCCCAAACCTTGATGAATCATCCCCTCAGCTAGCCAGGCACAGACATATTTCTGGAGTGGAGTTGCTTCAGACTTTCCAACTAGGAGACTGGGCCCAGATATCACAGCATTTTAACGGTACAAACAATCTTGAGGAATCAATAACAAAATCTAATCACTGATCTCAGTTGTGAAGTCTGAGATGGATTCCTCATCTGTAACTCAGGAACTAGGCTGTCCTTTCTGCCAGCATCCTCCATTTTAAAAACTCTCTGCCTGTCTTACCCAGGTTAGATTTCTACATCTGCTTCTGCTTTCTTCCCTTGAGTCACTTCCTTTAAAGGAAACCTGCCCACCAAGGTGGGAGAGGAAGGTTGCTGGTACTAAGGCTGATATCTACTACCTGGAGGTTTCTCTTTGCCTTTTAGATTAAGTATGAAGTGTGAGCAACTGCAGATTTCCTGTAGATGGGTTGAAGACAAATTTTAACCCTTACTTAAATACAGTTGGTTCAGGATGCAACATCATAGCTGACTGCGGTCAGTCCAAAAATCAAATAAGAAAGAAAACATCTGTCAGAGTGCTGATTTGATATACTGAGAAGCCATAAAAATACTAAGATTAGTACAACAGAAGTAGACAGAAATCTGCAGCCAGAGATAGATGGTGGAGAGGACAGAACAGGATTTCCTATCCCACTGGCAACATATTCTTAAATTGAATACTGCAGGATCAGAGAGGGGACCATTAAGGCAAGTGGTTAAAGTGAAAATATGACATTGTGCCCCCACATTTTTCACTGTAATACATAGAAAATATGAGACTCTATCAAAATTTTTCTAGGCAAGGAAAATATACTAAATAATACAAAACTAAGTACTTTAGTAAAGCTATAAAGCCAAGTATCCAGAAATTAAGATAAAATATTTTTCTCTGGGACAGAAACAGGCTGGAATCATTGTTATGCTTTAACTATTTTGCTTCTTGGTTAGGTTTGTGTCTAAGTTTTCTGTATCCAATTCAGATCCCATATACTTTTCTCAGAATTCTCAATGCAGGATGCATAGAAAACACTTTCTATAAATTATTGTATTTATAAATACAATATGGATTTTGTCTGGGTAATTTTTAAACAATCAGTAGTCAACATGCATTTCTTGGTGTGGACATATGGACAAGAAGCTGCAGATTAAGCTAAGAAAGCATGTAATGCACATCTAATAAATACATGTGAATAGGCTCTCACACTACAAAAAAAAAAAAAAAAAAGAGAGGGCAGGCTTACTCACTCCTCACACAGCTTCTTCATGTCTGGAAAAGGAGAAGGTAATTCATTGCAAATCAGCTGATGCAACATCACATACAGTCATGCCTTGGCTTCTCCCAAAGTTACTTGTTTGTGTATGTGACCTTCCCCTGCTGATTAAATTCCTCCAGGAGGAGGCAGTACTGATACACAAAGTCAGGCTACTAAGGAGTAATACTGAGAGCCAAAACCAAAAGGCAGCTATTTTAAGGATCCTCTAAGGGTTCTGGGCAGACCCATTAAATCAGAGAAATGAACACAGCAAACTATTTCAGCTCACTGATGCGTGCAGTAGATTGCCCAAGTATGTTAATTACTGCCTTTGGCAGAATATATTTCCAGAAATATTAACACAGAATCTGGAAATAAAATGTCTCCTAGCACCACAACAGCATTTTCAGATACCACACTCAGATGTGAAGCATTAGGACAAGTTTCAGGAAAAAAGCCCAGAAAGTATCATGCACACCAAATCTTGACAAAGCACTATAAACCTAGAAAAATTTTCCAGTATTGGCTAATCACATTACATCACAGGAGAGACATTCTGTACCATCACCTATAGTGCTTAGGTACAAAAGCAGAACTCAGTCCCTTGACACCTTTGCTAGACCCTGGAGGCACACTTACCTCACTTTAGTTTTTACCGATAAAGTCTTTTAAATTTCAGCCACTGAACAAGCACAGAGCACCTGAGGCTGCCCAATACTAAACTGCTCATTGTTTCTCCCATGCCAAGGATGAGAACAGGATTCATAGGTTATGGTTGTCTGCCATGCAGCTTCCTTGTAGGGCCAAATCCATTAGGTAGGCAGGCCTTTTCCAACCCACTTTCTATATTTGCCATATTTCCAAAACCCACAAAATAAAGATTCTTTTCTTTTGACACTGGAGACAGAAGCCAGACTTCCCATCTATCAGAGGATGAGGTTAATAAGATACCACAGAGAGAAGTGCAAACTTTTAGGGAGTTCAGTGGTGACGCAGGTGAGTAGAGACTCCAGAGATTATTCATAGACCATCAAACAGCTTCAACTGAAAAGACTGGAAGAGCTAAACCTCAATGTATTTTATAGGGAGACTTTTAATGATAAATGACAATAAACTAAATGTCAATGAGCTAACTACATATATAAAAAACCTCTTTTTTAAATTATTCATTAATTTCAACTCACATATAATTTTAAGAGAGAAT